GCTTAAAGATAAGTGGGATTATGAGTGTTCACTGCTCACAGCCTCCAATACCTCCCTGTCACACTTACAAAAGTGTAGCCTTGTAGGCCTTAGACTTTAAAATCTTACAGGATCTGGTCCTGGATCTCTCTCCAACTCCATCCCTCATTTGCTGTGTGACTCTAGCCACATGGTTTCCTTGATATGCCTCAAACCTGCAGCCTCCCTCATCTGGATGGTTGGATGGTTGGGGTAACTGCAGATCATCACATTACTCATTCTTTTCACTTCCATTAGGCCTTTGCTCAGACATCATGATCTCAGAGAAGTCCTCCCTGACCTCCCTGTCTAACGCCACACCACTTTCTTTGCTCTCTGCTTTATTTTTTTTCTTGATCCTTATCAGTATACACACATGTTTATTTTGGATTATTTGTTCATTGTTGGCCTCTCCCGGGAGAATATACATTCTATGAGAGGAGAGACTGAGATATTCACTGCTGTAGTTCTAGCATGGGGAGTAGTGCCTGGAACATGGAAGGTGATGAATAATATGGACGGGTTATTCTCTAGATCTACCGTACCTGAGTGCCTTCTGGAAATTCTTTTTATTTTCCTGTTTACCAGGCAAATATTTCCATGGACAGTTCCTTAATGAATCACCTGAACAATTATCTGGAAACACTCTCCTGCTTTCTCCCATGGCTTCCCTCTCTGGTTTAGGAGTCTCAGGTAGAAAGACATTGATAGACAATGCCAACCTCCTCAGGAGCTTGTTACTTACAAAAAAATAAGTGTGTATTTTTTTTGTTGTGTTTTCTGGGTCATGCATTCCTCTGCCCTGGTTTATCCAACAATGTAACTGTATTTCCCTTCTGTCTTCCAAAAATATATACAAATCTCTGTCCCAGAGATTGTTTCCTTCCCAAAGCTGTAACAGATTTATCCTGTCTGTATAATTTACTTTGTCATTCTAATAGGATTCTGTGAGAAAAAGTAAATCTATATGTTCCATCTGTTACCTTCAGCCCCATGTTTCTGATTGACGGTTTATCAAACGTGAAACTCTTGGGAGTATGTGTGTGTGTTTAGAAACTATGCGACATAAGGTGCAGGGACTTAGCTGAAAGTGGACCCAAGTCCACAAGTTTCAAGGTAGTAGAATTTGCTTTACAGGCTGGTAAAGGGAAATTCTTTCCTGCTGGAGTTCTGATGAACAGGAGTAAAAAGGCACCATTAGGGACCAGATTCTCAAAATCGGTTTGATAACCATTCAGCAGCATTTGAAATGGGCATTCCACATATAAGAAAGGACACATACAAACAAAAAATGAAGCTTTTTATAATACAAATTCTATTAAAATCCACCAAAACTAGAAGCAATGTAAATCAAATACAGTTTCCAATTTCTCCTGTATCTAGAACTGTATGTGAGAAGGAGATAACTTGTGTGTTATTGGCATCCTTTACTCTGCAAATGAAATTTAGTCTCATAATACATACCTCCTTTTAAGACAGGAAAGGCCATTCTAAATGGGTTTGCCTTATTTGGCATTTGTGAAAATTTCATTTAACTTCTTAATTATGATTATTCATTTATTTCCTAAGTATCATTTGAAAATTCCTTGATTAATGGTCACTACAGCATAGCTTTTCACATACCAAGGCCATTAAGTTCTCTTAAACTGGTACATTATATAATGCATTGCTTCACTATGTGCAAATCTCAGCTATATTTTATTAAGACAAAGCACACTTGGTTTTTCATTAGCACTCAATAAATTACGTATAGTGTAATAGGGATGGCCAAACAAGGGATACATACAAGGAGCGAGAAGAGAAATGTGCCTTGACAATCACAGTTAATAGTATTTCATTTAAAATACCCTAAAATAGTTTTATGACACAGACACTCATGGTGAACTAAGTCCTGGCTACACAACTTGGGGTCCTCAGATCAGCAGCATCGCCATCACTTGGGAGCTTGTTAGGAATGCAGAAGCTCAGGTGTCACCCCAAACCTCCACACCTGTGGGATCAGAATCTTCATTTAAGCAAAATCCCCAGATGATTTGTATGCACATTAAAACTTGAGAATCACTCTGTAAAGCTCTGCTTCTGAAATTTGGCTGCACTTTGCTATCATCTGGGGAGTATAAAAAATTACCGAGGTTCTGATTTAATTAGCATGGGATGTGACATGAGTAGAGAGAGTTTGAAACACCCCCCCCCCAACCAGGTAATTCTTATAAGCAGTTAAGCTTGAGAATAATTGCTCTTAAAAATAGAACCCAACATCATCTTCATTGTGAAATAATAATAATAACGTGAAGAAGAAGAAGTTATATTTTGGGATAATTAAGTCTTCAGAAAGCACAGATGGAAGCAAACATAAGAACTGTAATTAATGGAAGCATTTTGTGCATAATCACCTTTACACGATTCGTTTATCAGGTTAACAGAATGAAAAGGGGATGGGACAGAAGTGGTAGCAGAGAAGGATAAGAAATGAAACAAGAGGTGAGGCCCAGTAAGCTAGACCTTAGGAAGTACCAAAATACAGGGCCCTTGATAGCAAGGGTTCAGTCTATAGACTATTGTGGTAAACAAGGAATCAGCCTCAAATTCATCTTTGGAAAACTGAAACTTCAGGAAACTACAAGTGGTACTCTTGTGCTCTCATGCCCTATTGAGGGTGTTGCTATATGTGTGTGTCACCTAAGAAAGTCATACAAAGAAAAGGGAAAGGCCAAGTATTATAACTGCCTTAGCCTGAATCCTCATCATCTCTTGATTGTTTTATAACATTGAACTCCTAACTGGTATTCCTGTCCCTCTCTCATCAATCCCCCACCCACATGCTGCCCAAGTGATGTTTCTAAAGTATTATTCTAATCTTACCATTCCTTTTCTTAAAAAGAAACACCCCAAACACATTCCATTTCATAAAACATTATCTCCTTAGCATAATATGTATGAAGGAAACTAAGATTTATCAAGTATTAGATATTTCTTTTATTCTTCAAACAAGGTATATAAGATAGGTTTTGTTGATCTCATTGTACAGATGAATAAACTGAAAGTTTTTTTTCAAGAGAATTTTTTTTAATGGTAAGAAGTCAGGTTTATTCAGAAAAAGCTCAGATTCACACTTGGAAAAGTCTGAGAAAAACATTAAAATGCTATTATAATACAGTTGACCCAAACAACACAGTTTTGAACTGCACTGGTCCACTTCTCTGTGGATTTTCTTCCACCTCTGCCACTGAGAGAGCAAGACAAACTTCTTCCTCCTGTTCCTCAGACTACTCAGCATGAAGATGAGAATGAAGACCTTTAGGATGATTCACTTCCACTTAATGAATAGTGAATATATTACTTTCTTAATAACATTTTCTTTTCTCTAGTTTACCTTCTTGTAAGAATACAGTATATAACACAACACAAAAAATATGTGTTAACTGCTTTATGTTATCAGTAAGGCTTCCAATCAATGGTAGACTAACTGCTGGTTAAGTTTTTGGGAAGTCAAGTTATATGCAGATTCTCCACTGAGCAAATAGTCAGTGCTGTTAACTCCTGTGTTGTTCAAGGATCACTACATTTAAGAGTTATTCTTTACCCAGTAGGTCAAGCCAAGACCAATAAGTTGGGTCTATGAGTTTCTGGCTTAACCTAAGGAAATGTTCACCCTAAAGCAGTTCATCAGTAGAACAGACTGCCTTTTAAAGCAAGGAACAACTCTCTTTGTAGGTGTTTTAGGTATATGAATGACCATATGTGATGTGCTTTGGGTCATCTAGGGTCCCTTCCAACTTAAAACTTCTATAGTCAGGAACACTGCATAACTACATTGTGGATTTCATATAATTAATATTGTGTTGCCCTCTTTAGGTTTGAAATGGTTTCCTTCTCAATTGCATAGACATATATAGCACTACCCCACTATGAACTCTGATGTAGAAAATACAAGATACTAAAGTCATCTGTGAGGCTAAATAGATGTAGGCACTTCCACATAATATTGCAAAAAGCAACAGCCTTGAAGACACTACTTGCTCAACCTGTCATTCCAAACATACACACTATGATTAGCAGCTGAGTTTAACAGTGTCTTTCTGCTTTAAAAAGGACTTTATATACCTTTACAAAGAAGTCGTAGTATCTCAGGGTAACAAAACCCAACTGGTAGAAAACATGAACTTCTCCTCTTATAAATGAACTACGCTATATGTTTGAGTGTTTATCTCAAAATCATTGCAGAAATGTAACTTGTGGGAAAAGATCAAAATGCCTTTTTTTCTGAAGGTTTTGAATTTTTCTTGTGATATTTCGGTCTTTTATTATATACTGATTTTTATGATTATCTGTTTCATAATGGTTATTCTTACCTCCATGAAAGACTAAAACAAAAAACTGACAAGTTCTAGCTGCATTACTTACTGAATGACCCTAGGCAAATCATGGGGGCTCTTCTTTCTTGTGTTTTGAGTTTACCTCCAACGAAGTAACTACCTCAGATTAGCTGTGAAGCTCATAAGATGATGGATTTGAAATGCCTTACAAAGTATGAGCATTAGATATATAGAAAGTTTCATCTACTTTTATATATTGCATGGGGCCCACCCATGGTTAGGTTGATAACAGGTGTTGATCCAATTATGGAAGAAATAAAAAGAACTCTTTAAAATAATAAAAATAGCTAATTTTTCCATTGTTTATCGTTTCCTCTGTTTAAAAGTTTAAAAAATTTGTATTAACTATATAACTAAACATATTTATTATATATAATATGATATGCAATAAGACATACAATTATATAATGCTTAAGTAATTAAACAATGAAATATAAATTATATTCCCCTTCCCAGCTAAGACACATAACCTGTTTACTTCTCCGAGGGATTTATTGGTTCCTGTGAAACCTATGAAAGCCACAAACACTCATAGCCAGAGAATGACAACCTATAATTGTCTTTTTAGTCTTGTAGTATCCACAGTACTGAGGTCTGTCCATAAACTCCATGTCTGCTCTGTGTGTCAAGGGGACAGGAACAGGAGAAGACAAATTGACTGGTGGTACTTTCAAGCAATGCGGTAGGCCTTCCCTTTGGGATCTGCCATGATAACGATACCCCAGGTGGCAATAATGATGCCGATGACCATCTGAGTAATATTGCCTGGACTCGGGAGATATCCCATCTTCATGGGCCTCCGTGCCACCAAGTACACGTATCCGCCTGCCCCCAGCAGCCCCAACCCAGAAAGCAGGCGACAGCTCCAGCAGTTATTAAACAGGCGGGATTCTGCTGGGGAGTTTGGCGCTGCGGGTGTAGCTGGGGGCGCAGGCTTGGCTGGTGCAGGCTTGGCGGGCGCGGCAGCGGTATCGGGAGGCTCATCGATCTTGAAGGACTGAAGAGGTTGGGATGTCTCAGACCCCATGTCGTGGATCTCCTCAAGAGAATATTTAATGGTAGAGATAAAATTAGAACTCTGATCTACCTGTATCTTCACTACCTCTCTAGCATGGGACACAAAACCCTTTGCTATCTAACAGTCTTTCTGTATTTATCTCCCAACTTCCTCATATTATAGATGTCCCAACAGACATTTAACATTCCAAAACATGTCATGCTTATTGCTATTCCTTTTAAAATTATTTTTCTTTTATGCCTCTATACATTTGAACATGGTATTTCTTGTTTCTAGAATGCCCTATTTTTAAAAAGAAGTCTTTGAACAATTACATAGCATTTCAAATTCAAACACTTCAAATCCTAATTGAGGGAGTTTGAGGAGTGCCTTATATAGAGTTTAATCTCTCTCTCTATTTTTTTTTTTTTTTTTTGGTGTGATCATAGTACTTTACATACGTACTATTCACTGTCGACATATTGTTTTGGAATTATTTTGGTATATCTTTCCCTATTATAAAATAGGGTCCTTGCTGATGCAAATTATGTGTTACTCATTTTCAAAGCCAGCATATTCCTCATCTTGGGGTCTACATCAGTCAGTTTGGCCTAAGTTATGCTTTATAACAACCCCTTAAGTCTCAGTAGTCCACAACAGCAAAAGCGTATTTCTTGCTTTTATCACAGGTAGGCTGTGGCTGTTTCATGCTATCTTTACTCCAAGACCCAGGTTGATAAAACAATTTTCACCTGGAATATAGCTGGTTTTGTGACAGAAAGAAAAATGATAAGGAGATCCATGGGACTGAAAATGTTATGCTTGGAACTGATAGATACCACTTCTACTCATATTCTATTGGCTACAATAAGTTGCATGGCTACTGCTTTAACAGGGTAGCCTGTTAAACTACCCTGGTTACTCAAAAGTGCCATGATAGACAATTTTAGCAGGGCCATGATATATAGTTTTACCACAGAGATGAACATTTCAACTTACACAGCCAAGTGTGATGTCAATGAGACAGAGATATCCCTACAGTGAGAGGAAGTAATAAATAATGCCATGTACTACAGGGTCACCTACACTGCAGGAAATTTACCTGTTTTTCACAAAATGAAGTTGCATTTTATGCAAATTTGCATTGTGTTCATGTAATATTTAAGCATTAAAATATTAATAAAATTATACTGTAAACATAAAATTTGAAATAATGAAAATTTCTTATATCTAAAAGTTCACCCCAAATTTCACAACTGTAGGGCCAAGTGAATTGAAAACTCAGCTCTATTGCCCCTGTTTTAGCTAGTACATGAAAATATTTTAGATAGTGGCAGCACTATTTTAGATAGTACATGAAAATAACATCACCTTCTGTCAGGACTAGTGACTAGTCTAGACTGGTTTTTTGGAGACAGAGTCTTGTTCTGTCACCCAGGCTGGAGTGCAATGGCGTGATCTCGGCTCACTGCAACTTCTACCTCCTGGGTTCAAGCGATTCTCCTGCCTCAGCCTCCTGAGCGCCCAGGAATACAGGCACGTGCCACCACACCTAGCTAATTGTTGTATTTTTAGTAGAGACGGGGCTTCACCAGTTGGCCAGGCTAGTCTTGAACTCCTGGCCTCAGGTCAGGACTAGTCTTTAACTGTATAAGTTATCAGAGAACAAACTCCTTATACACAGTTTCACCAATTGCAGGCAAACAATATGTGTTTCAACTTCATTCACCACTCTTCCACTATTAAAAATGAATTCCCAATTTCAACCCTTATATGACCACTAAACCACTTCCACAGAGACTTCATAGCAAGTTCAATTGCTTCTTCTCATTCACATAAGGAATATAATAAACATAGAGTTAAGATAACAGAATTAGTGTTGAAGATTAGGTGGATTACAACATCAGATTTTAAAATCAGGATTGATAGCATTTTCCTGGCTAATACAAAACAAAACAAAACAAAACAAACAAACAAACAAAAAAACAGTGAAGTCCTGATTCTACTTTCCATTTTCCAGCCAATTAACAAGCCAATGATGTGGCTTCAGAAACTTTTTTTCCTTGTCAACATTTATCAAGTAAAATCTTGGTCTAAGAAGGTTAAATTCTGCTTAACAAATGCTACCAAAAAAAAAAAAAAAAAAAAAAAAAAGAAAGAAAGAAAGAAAATGAATTTTTTCTGTCAAATATCTTTTTCATATTTAACATAGCACTATCATGGACACATTCATTCCAGAGTACATTTATGTTAACAAGTGACATTTTGAATGTATTTAATTACTATGAAACCTGCTCTTTCTTGTGCTCTAAATGTTCCATGAACATCCTCATATGCCATGTTGCTCCTACAGATAGTGTGATGCTCCTTTGAAATATGAGCTGATAACATACAATTTTTGTGGCATTCTGAAGGTAAATTAGACAAAGCTTTCTGCCCAAACATGAGCAGTTAACTCAAGTAAGATAACTAAATATATGTTTTATACCCAAACACTTTATTTAAATGTTTACAGGAATAATCAAGACACTAAGCATATTAGATGTCTAAAAACCTTAAGACCTTCAACACGAGTATTTTTCAATGTGTCCTGCATATTTGACTGTTTGTGCATTATTGAACATTAAATCTATTCTTTTAACAGATTTTTATGGAGAATCTGGTATATTCCAGGTACTGGGCTAAGCATTTGCTATGGATTATTTTATTCATTTTAGAAATGTTGGGAAATAATTTCTCTGAAACTTATTCTTAAGTCAAGCCCATGAAGGATCCATGGCATTTACCAGGGATAGACAAGCATTTTAGTTAGAAGGTACAGAGGGAGCAAAATCTTAGCATGTTCAAGGGGAATGTCACAGGAACAGACTGTAAGAGGGAACAAGAGGATCAAGCCAAAAATGCCATGACCTTTGATGGAGATATTGAGCTAATCCACATGATCTGTATCTAGTTTATGAGTGTCCATGATATTTATTTTAAAAGAAACCCAACTTCCCTTTTCCTTATGTTTACAGACATAGAAGAACATTTTGTGGTAAACATTTTGCAGCAAACAACCCAGCAAGCAGCAAGCAGGATTATAAAATGGGTCATGTTTTTCACATTTCTACCAATCAGACTGAGAAGCACGTTCTTTAGTCATATTACTTGTTTTCAGGTTATTCTTTATGGGCTTTATCTTAATACTGATATCCTGGTATCTTGAGGGTCTCTTTATGTTGACAATAGCCCCACACACATTTTGAAAGGCAATAAATCCAATCTGAGAGTAAAGTAGATTTCTTTCTAATAGAATACTCTACCATCATAATATTGTTTAACACAATTTAGAATTCTCATTAACTTTAGTGAGAATGTGTACTTAACAAAGCAGTCAAATAGTGTCTTACGTTTAAATATAGAATTTGATACTTTTCCTGTCCTTCTCATGTTAATTACTGAATATCAGGCACTTGAGTAATGTTAATTCCTTGGGTATACACTGTGTGAAAGTAAGATTATGAAATATGTATGCCCTTTAAAGTTTTTATTAAAACTTTCAGAATGTTCAACTCATTTCAATCTCTCTCCCATGTCTCTTATTAAAGCCCTAGTTGGATAAGCTTCGGTTTGTCTGTGGTAAGCAATCATTCAGTCCAAAATAATAGTGCCTCGAACAACATAGAAGTTCACTTCCATCTCATCCATATTTAGTCTGGATGGAAACTCCATGTCTACAAAAGCATTTCCAGATTCATCAAGGACCCGTCATGAACATCTTTTATATTCCTTTTCTACAGTCATTATTAGCCCACTATCTTATAGTCAAGATGATAGTGCTAGTTTCAGTCTTCCAATCCACATTCCAGCCAGCAGGAGAATGAATGAGATGGGAATAAGTTGTAAAACATGTCTTAATTTGGTTACTAGAAAGCTCATGCCACCATTTTCTTTACATATCATTGAACAGAAGACATGCCTGGCTGAAAGAAAGACTGGGTAACATAATCTTACTTTCACACAGCTGTATGCTCTGGTAAACACAGGGATTCTCTTACTAGAAAAGAAAAATAAAATCAATTTTGGAGTAGACAAACATCTGAGGCACAGAATATGTTCCAAAATCTAAAAATAAAAAAAGTTATGTTGTCCAATACGTAAAATCATATATGCCGTTTCTAAGTCTTAGCTATCTTCCTCTCCCCTCACTTGTCACCCACCACCCATCCTATAGCCCTTATTCCAAATGCTCAAGCATTTCTATTATTTCGTGATGTGTGGCACAATCAGAGAAATATTAGTTATATGATTATTACATTTTGAGATGGAGTTTTGCTCTTGTTGCCCAGGCTGGAGTGCAATGACGCCATCTTGGCTTATTGCAACCTCTGCCTCCTGGGTTCAAGTGATTCTCCTGCCTCAGCCTCCCAAGTAGCTGGGATTACAGGTGTTCACCACTATGTCCAGCTAATTTTTTTTTTTTTTTTTTTTTAGTAGAGACAGGGTTTCACCATGTTGGCCAGGCTGGTCTCAAACTCCCGACCTCAGGTGATCTGCCCTCCTCAGCCTCCCAAAGTGCTGGGATTACAGGCGTGAGCCACTGCACCCAACCTACTACATTTTGAAATAAATGCCTTTTTACCTAGAGTTCCCATTCTAGGCACCAAAGTATAAGAGTAATTCTCCTTTGGGTCTAAAAATCCACAATTTATCAAAGATATTATTCCAAGAGGATCTCTTTGATTGAAGTAAAATTCGTATAACACAAGATTTAGCATTTACACATTTTTATATATTATTATCACATTCACAATGCTGTGCAACCATCATCACTAGCTAATTCCAGAATATTATCATTATTCCAAAAATAAACCTCTACCCATCAAGGAATCATCCACATTTCCCCCTCCCATCAACCCCTGAAACCACTAATCTGCTTTCTATCTCTATGGGTGTGCCTATTTTGCACATCTCATACAAATGCAATTATACAATATGCGGCCTTTAGTGCCTAGTTTATTTCAATTAGCATAATGTTTACAAGGTTAATCTAT